ACACACACACACACACACACACACACACACACACACACACACACACACACACACACACACACACAAAATGCCAAAATGCCCTGGGGACTAGGAATGTAGCTCTGTGATGGGGTACCTGTCTAAAATGCCCTGGTTTAGGGCTGGGAAGATGGCTCAGTGGTAGAGCGCTTGCCTTGCATGCCTGAGGCCCTGGGTTCGATTCCTCAGCACCACATAAGCAAAAAGAAAAAAGCCGGAAGTGGCGCTGTGGCTCAAGTGGTAGAGCGCGCTAGCCTTGAGCTGAAGAGCTGAGGGACAGCGCCCAGGCCCAGAGTTCAGGCCCCACGACCGGACCCAAAAAAAAATAAAATAAAATGCCCTGGTTTAACTTCTAATACCATAAAAAAAATTAGCTTGGGCTGGATGGTGACTTAGTGGTAGAGTGCTTGTCTAGCATGCATGAAGCCCTGGGTTCAATTCCTCAGTACCACATCAACAGAAAAAACCAAAACAAAACAAATAAAAACAAAACCAAACCAGAAGTGGCATTGTAGTTCAAGTGGTGGAGTTGCTAGCCTTGAACAAAAGAAGCTCAGGGACAGTGCCCTGAGTTAAAGCCCCAAGACTGGCCAAAAAAAAAAAAAAAAATAGCAATGAAGAAACAAAAATGCCCTATTATTGACTCCCCTTAACCCTTATAATTACTTCTGCTTTCTGACCTTATGAATTTGCTATTTTAGGTATCCTCTAAATAAAATCATTTGTATTTGTCTTTTGTGTCTGACTTGTTTCATTTAGAAGATTCTCAGTGTTAAAACATCATCTATGGTGGAGTCTGTGTCGGAATTCCATTCCTAGGACGAGTGGTAGTGGCTGCCTAGTACTTGGATTGTTTCCATCTTTTTGGTTCTTGTCAATGTTGCTTCAATAACATTATTATACAAGTCCCTAACTCCCTACTTCCACTTTTTTTGGGAATGTACTTAGGAATGCCAATTTTTCCACCATAGTAATCCTATGTTTAACTTTTTCAGGAACAACTAATTCTTTTCCACAACTGCTAGACATTTTACATTCCCAGGAGCAATGTATAACAGATTCAATTTCTTCACATCCTAGTTTTTTGTTGTTGTTATTGTTTTGTATGTGTGTTTTGTCAGTTGCAGGACTTAAACATGGGGCCTAGGCGCTGTCCCTCAGTTCTTCAGCTCAAGGCTAGTGTCCACAGCACCACTTCACGTTTTCTGGTGGTTAATTGGAGATAAGAGTCTCATGGACTTTCCTGCCCGGACTGGCTTTGAACCTTGATGCTCAGATCTCAGCCTCCTGAGGAGCTAGGATCACAGGCAGGAGAGCCACCAGCACCCAGCGGTAGAGTTCTTGAAATAAAGCTTTTTAAAAACATGATTATCCCTGGGAGACAGCTGTTATTGTTTTCATTTGAAAGATAAGAAAATCTGAAATCAAACAGGTTTGACAACCTGTCCTTGACCACAAAGCAAAACTGTGGCAGAGATCTAGGAAATAACTTCTAATTTCTTCCAAACTAATAATATTACATGTAGTAAGTTATGGGAAACAAAAGAGCAATTTCTGTCTTAGCATGCTTAAACTTAGAAACACTGTCCGGCATATTAACTCCTCCTCAGCTGTTGTGGCCAGACCACATTAAACTCAGAATGTTTGTTTTGTTTTTTTCTTAATTATAAGCTAGTAATATTGAGACTCAAGCATTGTCTCTCTCGTGTTCTCATTGCTATTGTAAATTTTGGCTCTTTAAGAATAAGAAAATTTGGGTGGGGGGTGGGAGATGGGAAGGGATAGGAAGGGGAAACAAAGGAGGAGGCAACAATGCTTGATAAGAAATGTACTCATTATCTTGCCCATGTAATTGTAATCCCTCTGTACAGTATTTTCACAATTAAAAAAAAAGAAGAAAAGAAAATTCTTGCCGGGCGCTGGTGGCTCACACCTGTAAACCTAGCTACTCAGGAGGCTGAGATTTGAGGATCAAGGTTCAAAGCCAGCCCAGGCAGAAAAGTCTGTGAGACTCATCTCCAATTAAACACTAGAAAACTGGAAGTGGTGCTGTGGCTTAAGTGGTAGAGCAATCGCCTTGAGCTGAAGAGGGCAGGGATAGCACCCAAGCCCAGAGTTCAAGCCCCACAACCGACAAAAAAAAAAAAAAAAAAAGAAAATTCTTGGCTAAGAATGTGGCTTAGTGGTAGAATGCTTGCCTAGCATGCATGAAGCCCAGGGTTCAATTCCTCAGTACCACATACACAGAAAAAGCAGGAAGTGGTGCTGTGGCTCAAGTGGTAAAGTGCTAGCCTTGAGCAAAAGCAGCTCAGGGACAGTGTCCAGGCTCTGAGTTCAAGCCCCAGGACTGGCAAAAAAAAAAAAGAAGAAGGAGGAGGAGGAGGAGGAGGAGAAGGAGAAGGAAGAGAAGGAGAAGGAGGAGAAGGAGAACGAGGAGAAGGAGGAGGAGGAGGAGATGGAGAAGGAGAAGGAGAAGATTCTTAGCCAGGTGCCATACCTATAATCCTAGCAACTCAAGAGGTTGAGATCTGAGGATTGCTGTTCAAAGCCAGCCCAGGCAGGAAAGTCCAAGACTTTTTTGTTGTTGTTGTTGTTGGTCATGGGGCTTGAACTCTGGGCTTGGGCACTGTCCCTGCGCTCTTCAGCTCAAGGCCAGTGCACTACTGCTTGAGCCACAGTGCCACTTCCGGTTTTCTGGTGGTTTATTGAAGAGTCTCAGGGACTTTCCTGTTCGGGCTGGCTTTGAACCTTGATCCTTAGATCTCAGCTTCCTGAGGAGGTAGGATTACAGGCCTGAGCCACCAGCACCCAGCTTCCGAGAGACTCATCTTCAATTAACCACCAGAAAACCAGAAGTGATGCTGTGGCTCAAGTAGCAGAGCACTATCCTTGAGCTGAAGAGTTCAGGGACAGCACCCAAGCTCAGATTTTAAACCCCAGGTCTGACAAAAAAAAAAATTAAGAAAATTCTCAATTGTTGAATTGACAAGTATATAAGGAAGTGATCAAGAAAATGAAATTGCTGGCTAGGAATGTGGCTTAGTGGTAGAGTACTTGCCTAGCATGCATGAAGCCCTAGCATTCCTCAGTATCACATAAAGAGAAAAAGCTGTAAAGTGGCTCTGTGGCTCAAGTACTAACTAGAGCACTAGCCTTGAGCAAAAGCAGCTCATGGACAGTGCACAGGCCCCAGGACTGACAAAAAAAGAAAATGAAATTGCTTCTCCACATCCTTGCTTGGGGGGGGCAGGGTAGAGAGAGAAAGAGAGAGAGAGAGGGAAAGAGACAGAGAGAGACAGAGAGAGAGAGTGTGTGTGTGTGTAATACTGGGGCTCTAACTCAAGACCTGAGCACTGTCCTTTCACTTTTATGCTCAAGGCTAATGCTCTACCACTTGAGTCACAGCTCCACTTTTGGCTTTTTGGTGGCTAATTGGCAATAAGAGTCTCTAGGACTTGCCGGGCGCCAGTGGCTCACGCCTGTAATCCTAGTTACTCAGGAGGCTGAGATCTGAGGATTGCCGTTCAAAGCCACCCTGGGAAGGAAAGTCCTTGAGACTCTTATCTCCAATAAACCACCAGAAAACCAGAAATGGCGCTGTGGCTCAAGCGGTAGAACATTCACCTTGAGCTGAAGAGCACAGGGACAGTGCCCAAGCCCAGAGTTCAAGCCCCACGACCAACAACAACAAAAAAGAGTCTCTAGGACTTTTCCTGCCTGAGCTAGCTTCAAACCCTGATCTTCCTATCTTAGCCTCCTGAGTAGCTACGATTACGGTGATGAGCCACCGAGCACCCAGCTCATATCCTTGCTTAAATCAGATGTATAAAGTGCTGTTTTTTTACTTGCAACCCACACACTACGCAAGATAGCACTTATCTTCACCTAATTTGATTCCACTGACTTAACCAAATTTATGAATAGCTATCATTAGCATATATTATATATACTATCTCATATATAAATCTATCACCTATATATATACTATCTCATGTATATGTGTATATCTACTGTCTCATATATATATATATATATATATATATATACTATCTCATATACACACATATACATATATAATCACTATATACGCTGATGAGAGCTGTTCATTGCTATTCATTCCCAGGAACCATATTTTAAGAAACCAACCTAAGTAGGCATAGAAGTGATCTGACTGCAATACACTTTGAAATACTTCGGGCCAAAGGGGAGGAAAAGAATCGAGATGAGCCATTTATGCCTAATATTGACAACTGTTGAATGTAGGTGACAGCAGACAGGGTTTGTCTTCGTCATTTGGTCTCTGCTTTGAAGTTTTTCACACTTAAAAGAAAAACAAAACTCCCCCCCTCCCCCCAAACCATGAATTCCTTTCCCACCAAAGTTAGCAAGTCACTTGTACGCGAATGTTCTGGTCCTTGGGGAAGGAAAGCCAGAGAAAGGGGACAAGGGATCTATCTAGGAGTGGTGGACAAGGGATCTATCTAGTAGTGGTGGAGAAGGACAAGGGAATCTTAAAGTGTTTAGGGTGTCCTAAACACCTCTCAGCACCCCCCCCCCGCCTCCGCACTACCATGCCAATCAAGAGGATGAACCCCACACAGACCATTGGGGTGCACTCCCGGGCTTGGCGGGGTGAGGGGTCAGGTGGGGAGGTGGGGGGGGGAGAGATCTCTGAGCTCCATTTGAAAATGGCATCTACCTTGGGGGGGGGGCTCTTAAGTGGAAACCCCACAAACTCTGCTAAGGGAGCTCACAGCAGGGCCTGTGACACGATCCCCGGAAGGAGGTGGGGGGGATCCCCACATCCCTGGTAGCTCAGCACCCCGAGACCCCTTCGGTCTCCATAGTTGATCCCTGATCCGCTTCCCCCCCCTCCCCACATACATACATACCCATACACCCCCATTACCCGCCCCCTTCGTGCCCCCCCCCAATTCCCACCTCCCCCCCCCCCCAGGCCGGCTGGTCGGCCAACCTCTTACCGTCCAAGATCTCGTCGTCCTCCGATTCACTCTCCCCGTTCTCGTCGGCGGCCGGGGAGGACTCGGGCTCGGGCGTCTGCAGACCCAAGGCGGTGGCGGTGAGCGGGACGCAAGTCTGCGCGCGGGCCTCGCGCAGGCGGGTGAAGTAGTCCACGGCGAAGTCCACCAGGTCGGGCGGCTGCTTCCGCAGCACCTCCACGGTGTAGCCCTGCAGCAGCTCCGTGAGCCCCGGCGGGATGTGAATATGGCTCATCCCGGCGGCGGCGGTGGTGGTGGTGGGAGAAGAAAAGACCGGCGGGTAGGTAGGTGGGTAGGTGGGTGGGGTCCGGGCTCCCCGGCGTCTCCCTCACGCCCGCCCGGCCTCTTCTCACTTGGCGCCCGCCCGCGAGGTTTTTTTTTTTTTCTTTTTTTTTTTCCTCTCCTCACACACACACGCACACGCGCACGCGCGCGCGCGGGCGCGCGAGCGCGGGTGCGCGCGCAGCCCGGCTTCGGCCTTCTTCGCGTGGAGCGTCGGTCTTGAGAGCCCGGGGTGGGGTGGAGGGGGGGGGATTGGGGAGTGGCGGGAGAGTGGTGGTCTTGTGTTTCCGTTTAAACTATCACGGCCAGCTTGGCGCCGCCACTGCTGTCACCCGGCCGCCGCTGCCGCCACCGCCCGCCGCCCGCCGCCGCCGCCGCTGCCGGCCGCCGCCGCCGCCGCCGCGGGGACCCACGGGCAGGCGAAGCTGGACGGGCGGGGCGCGGGCGCCTGGGTTGTGACGCACGCGGCAGCGGGCGTGCGCGTCCCCGTCGGTTCACCGGCCTCCAGTGCGCGTGCGCCGCCGCGCTGAGCGCGCGCCTCCTAGCGCGTTGTCCTCTGGCTCTTCTTCGTGGACCAGGGGGTATTACAAATGAGTGGCCTACCTGCCTTCTTCTTGCCTGGCCACGTCTGTCTGTCTGTCTGTCTGTCTGTCTGGTCGGTCTTGGGTCTTGAACTCTGGGCCTGGGCTCTGTCCCTCAGCTCTTCAGCTCAAGGCCGGTGCTCTACCACTTGAACCACGGCGCCACTTCCGGTTTTCTGGTGGTTTATTGGAGATAAAGAGTCTCACGGACTTTCCTGCCCCGGGCTGGCTTTGAACCTTGATCCTCAGAGCTCAGCCTCCTGAGTAGCTAGGATTAGAGGATTGAGCCACCAGAGCCTGGCCCTTTTTTTTTTTTTTGTCGGCCCTGGGGCTTGAACTCAGGGCCTGAGCGCTGTCCCTGAGCTTCTTTTGTTCTTCTAGCGCTCTACCACGTGAGCCACAGCTCTCCGTCTCACTTTCTAGTGGTTAATTGAAGATGAGTCCCACAGCCTTTCTTGCAAAGGGTGGCTTTGAACCACGATCTGCAGATCTCAGCCTCCTAAGTAGTTACGATTACCCACTGTTTGGTTTCACATGTTCTTTCAAAACACAGAACACCAGGGAGACAGAAACATAAGATCTCCATAGGAACTATGGTTCCTGCTCAGTTAAAGGATCCCCAAATTCAGGACCTGCCCAGACTGGAAGAAAGCATCACTGCAAGAGCCAAAGCTACTCAGGAAGCTGAGATCTGAGGATTGCGATTCAAAGCTGGCCAGGCAAGAAAGTAAGACATCTCCAATAAACCACTAGAAAACCAGAAGTGGTGCTGTGGCTCAAGTGGTAGAGTGCTAGCTTTAAGCATCAACAAGATGGTAATTTAGGAGTTTGTAGAACAATAACCTTGAAAGACCAAGCACCCGGAGCCAAATGTGTATACACTGGTAAATGGGCATGGTGTCCAGAGTAGAAACGTTTATTGTTGTCTGATCCTCCTTCTACTCCTGCCAGGATCACAAGGTCTAGACCAGAACATCCCTTCTTCTCCCCCACTTTCTACCCTGGGCTCTGAGCCAGCACTGCTTGATGAAGATGAACAGACCATAAGGCGCTATTATCCTTTGCCTCGGGAAAGGACATAGGTGAACTGGAGAAACCAGGCTAATCCCAAACTCGCTCCCCTCCCCTTACCAGATTGGATGTCCCCTCTTTTGTGTGTGTGTGCGCATGCGTGCAACGTGTGAGCACCCAGTACTGTGGCTTGAACTCAAACTTGCTCTCATTTGATTTATTCTGCTCAAGGCGGGTTCTCTACCACTGGAGCTATAGCTCCACTTTTTCTCACCAAATAGGAATGGAATGGGGTAGGTAAGAATCTTCCTGGGAAGAGCAAATGATAGCTTAAGTGCCAAAGACCCAATGGGGCACAGAATCCAGTTCTCTTTTTCCCCTGCCAGCAATATGATTGGATATAGGCCTGGGAACCTAAAGGACATTTGGAATAGTTAAGCACCACCTGGTAATTACTCAGTATTAATTAAAATCTTCACTAGTGTCTCTCATATGGGTTTGGCACACCCTCGGAGCTCAGTGCTGCTGGGAACTGAGCTGCTAGAAGCAGGAACACCTCATTGTCTCTGGTTCAGAAGTAAGACCAGGCTCTAGGCTAAATAGGCCTGTGATTATAAATAGTGTCTCTTGAGACAAGTTCTTTGATGGGAGAGAGTTTGGGACCATTAATTTTGTGAGGAGAGAGGCAGAATGGAGATGCAGTATATTAGTATTTGCACACAATTTGGAGAAGGTTTACTGATTGAAGAAGGCAAATTCATGACTCCTTAGTTTTCCCATGTTGTCAGATTTTTCAAGTTTTAGATTGGGGTGGGGTAGGCAGCTGAGTAATTAGGATTTTGACATCAATTATAAAACAGAAAAGCTACTCCAGGGTGATTGACAAAGGCAGAGGTGGGCAGGGTCTTCAGTGCAACTGATTCCCATTGACTTTTGTAAAATGCCCCACAGCTCAGTCTTTCACCCATTAAGCAAACAGCATTCAAAAGGCAACCCAGGCTAGGAAGGTGGCATAGTGGTAGAGTGCTTTCCTTGCAGGCATGAGGCCCTGGGTTCAATTCCTCAGTACCACATACACAGAAAAAGCAAGAATTGGCACAAGCCTTGAACAAAACTCAGGGACAGTTCCCAGGTCCTGAGTTCAAGCCCCAGGACTGGCAAAAAAGGGAGGAGACAATTTAGGAGCCGGGCACTTGTGGTTCATGCCTATAATCCTAGCTACACAGACAGGAGGCTGAAATCTGAGGACCATGGTTGGAAGCCACCCCAGACAGAAAAGTCCATGAGACTCTCATCTTCAGCAAACTACTTAGAAAAGCCAGAGGTGGTGCTGTGGCTCAAGTGGTAGAGTGTTAGCCTTGAGCAAAAGAAGTCTGGGACATTGTTCTGAGTTCAAGCCCCAGGACTGGCGCGTGCATGCACGCGCACGCACACACACACACACACACACACACACACACACACACACGGCAACCTGGCTGGGTGCTGGTGGCACACACCTAGAATTGTAGTTACTTTGAAAGCTAAGATCGAGAGGCTCACAGTTCAAAGCCAGCCTAGGGAACAAAGTCTGCAAGACTATAGACCTCCAAAATAAAAGTTGGGCTGGAGGTATGGCACATATGGTAGAGCACCAGTTGTGATCAAGCAAACTGAGCAAATCCCAGTACCACTCAAAATAAGTAAAAGGTATCCCAGCCAGATATGGAAGCAATTACCTATAATCCCTGCTATTCAGGAGAATGAAGTGGGAAGATCACTTTAGGACATGAGCTTTTTGTTTTGTGGGTCATGGGGCTTGAACTCAGGGCCTGGGCACTGACTCTGAGCTTTTGTGCTTAAGGTTAGTGCTCTACCACTTTGAAGTACACCTTCCCTTCTGGTTTTCTGGTGGTTCACTGGAGATGAGTCTCACAGGCTGGGCACCAGTGGCTCACACCTATAATCCTAGCTACTCAGGAGGCTGAGATCTGAGGATCATGGTTCAAAGCCAGCCCAGGCAGGAAAGTCCGTGAGACTCATCTCTAGTAAAACACTAGAAAACTGGAAGTGGTGCCTTGGCTCAAGCGGTAAAGCACTCACCTTGAGCTGAAGAGCTGAGGGACAGTGCCCAGGCCCAGAGTTCAAGCCCCATGACCGACAAAAAGTCTCACGGATATTCCTGCCTGGCCTGAACTGTGATCCTCAGATCTCAGCCTCCTGAGTACTTGGATTGCAGGCCTAAGCCACGGGTGCCCAGCCACCCATACATCTTAGAAGCAGTGAAGATCAGGGAAATCAGCAGTCCTATACCTATTTCTCACCTGTTTCCATAGACCAATCTCAGGGTAAGTTTAACAAGCCAGACTTAAAAAAGCCAGTCCCAGCAGGGAAGTCCTTGAGACCCATCTCCAATGAACCACTAGAAAACCAGAAGTGGCACTGTGGCTCAAAGTGGTAGAGTGTTAGCCTTGAGCAAAAGAGCTCAGGGGCAGGGCCTGGGCCCTGAATTCAAGCACCATGACCAATTGAAAAAGAAAAAGAAAAAAAAAAGCCAGCTTCTAGGCCCAACCTGGCTATTATCATCGTTTGGTCCCAAAGGAAGGGTCTTTTCTCTGCCCTTTCTGGGTAATCTGAGTGACCAATGGAGTAACTGGGTTTCATGAATGGCCATTTGACCAAAGATGAGGGACCCAGTACTAGAAGAGAGCCAGAGCCTGAACTCTGCATCTTCCACCTTTATCCCTGACTCCATCCTGCTTGCATTCAAGCATGTCCAGCTGTACCTCTGGAGGTTACCATAGCAACCAAACCCACAGGCAGCCAGTAACTGGAAAACAGCTGCCAAGAACAAGTAACAGTATGTGAAAAAGGCCAAGAGCAGAGAGACCCTCTGAAGCAAGAGAAATACAGAGGAAGAGACTTCAAACTCCTAGGGGATCTACAGCTTATCCAGTCAATATCTTTCATCCACCACCACCCCACCAGCCCCAGGCAGAGACTTGGACAAAATGAGATCAGTTCTCAGAGACGTTTACAACAATGGATGCAGTGTAGCACAGAGGTAGAACACATTGTTTAGCCTAACAACAGCAGGTCCTGGAGAAAAATGAACACAGAGAAGATGCTAACTGCTTTAGTGAAATAGTGAATTTCATGTATTTGTTTTTCCCACTCAAGGGGCCTGTGCACTGTCCCTGTGCTGCTTTGGCTCAAGTCTAGCAGTCTACCACTTTGAACCACAGTGCCACTTCCAGTTTTCAGGTGGTTCATTGGAGATGAGTCTCTTTCCTGCCAGAGCTGGCTTTCAACCCTGATCCTTAGATCTCAGCCTTCTAAGTAGCTAGAATTACAGGCATGAGCCACTGGTACCGGGCTGCATGTAGTTTTTTTTCCCTGCCAGTCCTGGGGCTTGAACTCAGGGCCTGGACACTGTCCCTGAGTTCTTTCTGCTCAAGGCTAGCACTCTACCATTTGAGCCACAGCACCACTTCTGACTTTTTCTGTTTATGTGATACTGAGGAATCAAACCCAAGGCTTCATGCACATGCATGCTAGGCAAATGCTCTACCACTGAGCCACATTCCCAGACCATCACACACTTTTTTTTTTTGTCAGTTGTGGGGCTTGAACTCTGGGCCTGGGCGCTGTCCCTCAGCTCTTCAGCTCAAGGCTAGTGCTCTACCACTTGAGCCACAGTGCCACTTCCTTTTTTTTTTTCTGGGTTTATTAGAGATAAGAGTCTCACAGTCGGTAGGCGCTGGTGGCTCACGCCTGTAATCCTAGCTACTCAGGAGGCTGAGATCTGAGGATCACTGTTCAAAGCCAGCTCAGGCAGGAAACTCCGTGAGACTTATTTTTTTTGGGGGGGGGGGTCCGGTCATGGGGCCTGAACTCTGGGCCTGGGCGCTGTCCCTCAGCTCTTCAGCTCAAGGCTAGCACTCTACCACTTGAGCCACAGTGCCACTTCCGGCTTTTTTCTTATGTGGTGCTGAGGAATCGAACCCAGGGCCTCAAGCATGCAAGGCAAGTGCTCTACCACTGAGCCACCTTCCCAGCTCCTCTGTGAGACTCTTATCTCCAATAAACCACTAGAAAATCAGAAGTGGTGTGTGGCTCAAGTGGTAGAGCGCTCGTCTTCAGCTGAAGAGCTGAGGAATAGTGCCCAAGCCCAGAGTTCAAGCCCCACTACCAAAAAAAAAAAAGTTTCATAGTCTTTCCTGCCTGGGGTGACTTGGAACCACAATCCTCAGATCTCAGCCTCCTGAGCAGCTAGGATTACAGGCATGAGCCAACCACAGGTGCTCGGCCTAGTTTATATTTTTTATGGCTTTTATCTCCTGGGGTAACAGAAACATTCCTCTCTTACTTGAATTCTCTATGCCATGCTAGTCCCTTGCCTATTTCCTGGAACTTGCTGGTCATTTGACCACTTCTGCAATGACAGGCTCTCTCTGATTCAATCTTCCCAATTCACTTAGCCCACCAGTGTCTTTTCAACAGAAGTGTTCCTAAGCTCCAACTGGCAAGAGGGATTGAGGAAGTGGGCTGTTTTTCCTTTGCCCCTCACCCAAGCTGTCCTGTCTTCATCATTCTTCCCCCTAGAGAGGCTGTGGCTTTTGATCCAAAAGGTCTGATCTATTTTAACAGACATCCATGCTCCAGGGAGCAGTTAATTCCCAGAGCACCTGTTTCTGTACCTGTGAGCCAACCTCTTCTCCAGGACACAGTGTCCCCACAAAGTGTGAGGCGGCAGGGGACTCATGATCTGAAGATACCTCAGGTAAAGAACCTCTGAGGCACAGGGGCATCTAGCTAGACAATTACTGATTTTCCTGCTTACCATAACAGAGAAAAAGCAGAAAAAGGAGTCTGCAGGGCATACCGTGCTTTGGGGCATTTGAGATCTAGGATAATTCTTATCCTGATTTGAGGTTAGGAACCTGGGTTTTTTGTTTTGTTTTGTCTGTGTCAGGGCTTGAACTCTGGGCCTGGGTGCTATCCCTGGGCTCTTTAGCTCTTGAGCCACAGCACGCCACTTGAGGTTTTCTGGTCGTTCATTGGAGATGAGTCTCTGGGACTTTTCTGCCCAGGCTGGTTTTGAATCCAAATCCTTAGATCTCAGTCTCCTGAGTAGCTAGGATTACAGGCATGAGGTACCAGAGCCCAGCAGAAACCTGGGCTTTTGACCCAGAAGTACAGAAAGGTCTTTAGTATCATTAGTCAAGTAGCCTCAGGGCAGTTTCTGATAGCATCTCCAGTCTGCCACTAGGACATTTAGACACCCAGACTCTATTCTATTATCCAACTTGCCCTGACCTCTGCAGATCATTTTCTTTCCCAGTCTGAGTTTAAGTTCCACATCTAAAAGTCAGGGTAAAAAAAAAAAAATCTTGGGGCTGAGAATATGGCTTTAGTGGCAGAGTGCTTGCCTAGAATGCATGCATGAAGCCCTAGTTTTGATTCTTTAGTACCACATAAAAAGGAAAAGCCAATAGCCAGGTTCTGGTGGCTCATGCCTGTAATCCTAGCTACTGAGATCTGAGGATCACTGTTCAAAGCCAGCCCAGGCAGGAAAGCTGTGAGACTCTTATCTCCAATAAACCACCAGAAAATTGGAAGTGGCTTTGGGGCTCCAGTGGCAGAGTGCTAGCGTTGAGCCAAAGAAGCTCAAGATCCTGGGACAGTGCCCAGGCCCTGAGTTCAAGCCTCAGGACTGGAAAAGAAAAAGGGAGTGGGGGGAGGCAAGGTTTTATTTTAGTGGTAGAGTACTTGCCTAGTATGCCTAAGGCTCTAGGGGTTTAATCCTTAGCTTTTAAAAAGGGAAAAGAAAATGAAGAGAATGGAAAATATATACAGGATTTCAGCTTCAAAAGGTTGTAAGAGCTTGGCATGGTAGTTCTGAGCACTTAGGCAGGAATATCCTGAGTCAGCTACAGTGTAAGGCCACATCAGGAGAACTTGTCATGCAAAAGAAAAAAAAAAAGAGGGGGTAGGCTGTAGGGAATGAAATGTAGGGTATTTACAGTATGGCCTTATAGCAAAAACTGTGTTACCATGCTTCTGAGAGTCACTATTGCAACAACTGCCCTATGTCCCACACCTTTGGCCCAGTTATAACTTTCTTTGTGCTTAAGCAAGACCCTTATCACCAACTGGTTGTTTTGGCAATCACTGTCTAGTTTCTACTTGACTATATGGGACAGGCAGAGAAATTACTGGGGAGGGCCCCAATTCCCTTCTCCGTCCCCATCCCCCATCCCATCAGGGAAAGAAGATATATCTTAGGAACAGGTGGCATTTCAAAGTGCATCATAAATGGAAGTATGATCCAGAAGGGAGTCACTCACCATCTGCTTGGTTCCTTTCACAAATATGCCTCCAGGGGCTTCCCTGTTTGACTTAACATCAACTGAACACCCAAAGGAGTAAAAGAATCTACCCACAAATACTAAGGAATTAAAATGGGAGGAGTTTCAAAGGGCAAATTAACTAGAAGCACAAGACTATAAAAGTAATCTTAAGCTATGGGGAATGGCTTTGCTAGTATGCAAATAGACTTCTAAGAGCTTCTAGGCAAAAGCTGAGATTTCAGGTCTCACTGGATGTCAAGATCTTCAGGGGCTGGGAATGTGGCTTAGTGGTACAGTGCTTGCCTAGCATGCATGAAGTTCTGGGTTCAAATCCTCAGTACCACATCCACAGAAAAAGCTGTCGCTCAAGTGGTAGAGTGCTAACTTTGAGCCAAAGAAGTTCAAGGACAGCTCAGGCTGTGAGTTCAAGCCCCAGGACTTAGATGGCCATTTCCAAGTCAGTGAGATAGACATGAAAGGAGTATTTGACCTTCCCAGCAGAGGGGTTGTTTTTCTTTTTCTTTTGGTCGGTCTTGGGGCCTGAACTCTGGGCCTGGACACTGTCCCTCAGCTCTTTAGCTCAAGGCTAGCACTCTACCACCGTTCGAACCACAGCATCACTTCCGGCTTTTTCTGACTTATGTGATGCTGAGGAATTGAACCCAGGGCCTCACTCATGCATGCAAGGCAAGCACTCCACCGCTAAGCCACCTTCCCAGCCCCTTGTTTTTCTTAAATATTTTCATCTTTTAAAAATGTCATTTTCAAGCTGGCCGCCAGTGGCTCACATCTGTAATGCTGGCTACCCAGGAGGCTGAGATCTGGGGATCATGGTTCAAAGCCAGCTTGGGCAGGAAAGTCCATGAGACCCTTATCTCCAAGAAACCACCAGAAAACCAGAAGTGGTGCTGTGGCTCAAAGTGGTAGAGCATTAGCCTTGAGTAAAAAGAGCTCAAAGTCAGGGCCAAGGCCCTGAGTTCAAGCACCAGGACTGAAAAAAAGAAAACATTATTTTCTTCTTGACCATCATTATCTGATCAACTAAAAATAGCTTCTTAAGAATCAACCTGCTTGAGTAGGGAAGTCTTCAGCTTCCTGCCAGGTTGGCCCCATCCCCCAGCTTCCAGATTGGGGTGGGTCTGTCCTCCCACGGTGATCGTTCTCAAGCCAAAGTCCAAGGCTCTCTGTGGAGCTGCAATGGGGCAAGGAAGTGCCAGAGGAACTAATTGTGACTGCCAGATCAGACAGTGCCAGAAAAGCTCAGCTCCCATAGCTTTGGCTGGTTCTTCCCTGGAGCAGACAAGGACAGCCCAGTGTATGACTCTCCAACTTCCTCCAACCTGTTTCTGGCCATACTTAGTAAAGCCAGGCTGGGTCAGAAAGCACAGTAACATTAAAACCAGGATTGCTTTTGTCTGCTTAGAATAACCGACTTTTCCATCTGTCAGATAACCACGTGGCTCTGGACAAGGGAGAGAAATGAATAAAAGGATTGGTTACTGGTGGCTTCATGCCTGTAATCCTAGCTAAGATCTGAGGATTGAGGTGTGAAGCTAATTGGGGCAGGAAAGTCCATGAGACATCTCCACCTAACAAAAAAAGCCAGAAGTGGAACTGTGGTTCAAGTGGTAGAGTGTTAGCTCTGAGCAAAAAAGCTCAGGGACAGAACCAACACACACACACACACACACACACACACACACACACACACACACACACACAAAACACACACACACACACATACACTCACACACACTAGGCCTTATGGAGGCCAGCCTGTCTGATTGCCACATAAGGCTGTGTGAAGAGTTACCAATCAAGTCACCCTGTTTAACTCACCTCCCTTGAACAGCTGGGGCAGCCAGTAAACTCTGGCTTTCTCCTTCCCATTAGGACAGATGCCTAGGGTTCTCTGAGGGGGATGATACTAGATCTCTGACAACTTCTACCAAGGCCACAGGCTACTTTATGAAATGACCCAGAAGCAAAAAGAAAACAAAAATATGGCACGATGCAAAAATTAGAAACAGTATTTATTGTACCCTGTTAAATGTGGGTGCTCTCATGAGGAAAGAGTGTGCAAAAAGCCTTCCTACACCCTTGAGCTTTCACACTTACCCTAGCAGTCTCAGAATGTCCTCATTGTGTGGGAAGAAAAACAAATTCTCCCATCTTCTCCTGGGGAAATTAGGCTACTCCAATTTTATGTATGATTATTTGCTAGCCATAAACATAATCAAAATTCAATGGTTAAACAAGCTATCTCTTCCAAGACATATCTACCCAGACCTCTTGGATGAATATGATGTGGGCCTTAGGTCCACAAGTCCATATTTTTATGTACACCCCAGGATTAGATGACACCTTGTAAATCAATTGAATGTTCCCGGTTCGGATTTAAACAAGATCTCAGCATCTGATGAGTTGGTTGAAAAAGCATTTGTAAGGCGTCTTCAGTGACAGGCTCTTTAGGTGAGGAGGATTTTGGGTAGAGTCGAGAGCCAGCAGTCAACCAGTAGGTTAGCCATCTGATCACAGGTGGTTAGCTGGTCTAGAAGCTACGTATTCCATCGTGAGATCCCTTAGAGTGACAAGAGTGAATTCAAGTTTCCAAATGGCATTACCAGGTGGTTATACAAGGTAGAGGATGTCTTTAAGGCAATAGGTTCACCATGTCCATGCATAGAGCTCTGATTCCACCATTCTCCCCCCCCTCACCCCTTCAGAACTGCCAGTCCTGCCCACTGCTCCTCCTCCATGACAGTGTCCAGCATGCAGAAGCCTCAACCTTCTTCCTCACAAGTTGGGGGTGATCCAATTAAGGAACTTCATGGCAACCTCAAAGCCAAGGAAGCAGGCCTAGGGGTGGAGAAGAAGAGAGAAGCCAACAGAAATGGGACCTTTTGAAGACACCACTACGAAGCACCATGCCTGGTTGGTCATATTAGAACCAGAATCCCCTTCCTAACCCTATTCTCATTGCACATCCAGGAAGCAAGGCAAGTTGGGCCTGGTGGTACACACCTGGAATCCCAGCATTTCAGAGGCAAAGGCAGGAGGATATTGAGTTCAAGGCTAATCTGGGCTGCAGTAGTGAGTGTTAGGTAAGCCAGAGCTACCTAGTGAGAGCCTTTCTTAACCAAAACCCTGAGGAAGGGCTGGGAATGTGGCTCAGTGCTAGAGTGCTTGCCTAGCATGCATGAGGCCCTGGGTTCAATTCCTTAGTACCACATAAAGAGAAAAAGCTGGAAGTGGTGCTGTGGCTCAAGTGGTAGAGTGCTAGTTAGGCTTGAGCAAAAGCAGCTCAGGGACAGTGCCAAGTCCCTGAGTTCAAGACCCAGGATTGGCAAAAAACAAAACAAATAAAAAAAAACATTAAAAAAAAAAGCAAGTTATACTTTTTTTTTTTCCTCTGCTCCTGAGGCTTGAACTCAGGGCCCTGGGTGCTATCCCTGAGCTGCTTTTGCTCAAGGCTAGTGCTCTACACTTGAGTTGTACTTGGGGCTTTTTGGATAGTTTTTTGGAGATAAGAGTCTCCCAGACTTTCCTGCCTGGACTGGCTTTGAACCAGGATCCTCAGCTCTCAGCCTCCTGAGTGGCTAGGATTACAAGTGTGAGCCACAGGTGCCCAGCTTACTTTCTCATTCTTTTTTTTTTTTGTCGGTCATAGGGCTTGAACTCTGGGCTTAGGCGCTGTCCTTGTACTCTTCAGCTTAAGGCAAGCACTCTACTGCTTGAGCCACAGTGCCACTTCCGGTTTTCTAGTGGTTTATTAGAGATAAGAGTCTCATGGACTTTCCTGTCCAGGCTGGCTTTGAACCGTGATCCTCAGATCTCTGCCTCCTGAGTAGCTAGGATTACAGGCGTGAGCCACCGGCACCCGGCTCATTCTTTTTTTTTTTTGTCAGTTGTGGGGCTTGAACTCTGGACCTGGGGGCTGTCCCTCAGCTTTTCAGCTCAAGGCTAGCACCTGAGGCTCTACCACTTAAGGCAAGCACCTGAGGCTCTACCACTTGAGCCACAGCGCCACTTCCAGCTTTTTTCTGTTTATGTGGTACTGAGGAATCCAACCCAGGGCCCTATGCATGCAAAGGCAAGCACTCTACCACTGAGCCACTTTCTCAGCCCCCTCTCTCATTCTATTTTTTTTTTTGTCGGTCGTGGGGCTTGAACTCTGGGCCTGGGCGTTGTCCCTCAGCTCTTCAGCTCAAGGCGAGCGCTCTACCACTTGAGCTATAGCGCCACTTCCGGTTTTCTGGTGGTTTATTGGAGATAGGAGTCTCATGGTCTCTCCTGCCCGGGCTGGCTTTGAACCGCGATCCTCAGATCTCAGCCTCCTGAGTAGCTAGGATTACAGGCGTGAGCCACCAGCGCCCGGCGCCCCTCTCTCATTCTTAATGGGAAGAAAATGCATGTCCTGCAACTGCCCATTTCTGATGGCCAGGTCAAAAAAAAAAAAAAAAATCTAAGTCCCAGGTGGGAGGAGGAGGGAAAAAAAAGAAATCAAAGTTCCTGATCTCAGAGCCCCTCCAAAAGCAATCCTTCTGACAACTTCAGGAAAGCAAGCACATGATACAGCTCTGGCTGAGTCTGAGTATGAATCCCCAATGCTATGCCAGTAGCAAGCAAAATCGTGCACCTACTCTGAGTCCAGAAGGGAAAATACCCTGCTTGCCAGATACTCACTGCATTGGCTGGGAAGGCTCGGATCATCACTGCATTGAACCCTTTGTACAAGGATGTGATTCCTTCATCCCGGATCAACTCTCTGAGCACATCTCGGAAACCATTAGGATATTTTCCAGGAGGTGCTGCAAAGCAGAAGTGAATTTTGAAGGCTTCCAGAAGCTTCTAACCTGATTATGGAAACCTACATAGGAACAACTTAATAGTTTGTCTTCCTTTAGGGTGAGGGGGGGATGCACCAGAAAGAGAATACCCTAAGGTGAGGAAGTAGTTCATAGCAGATGCCAGTGGCTCACACCTATAATCCTAGCTATTAAGGAAGCTGAGATCTGAGAACTGAGGTTTGAAGCCAGCCTGAGCAGAAGAATATAAAAGTTTCTTTCTTTTTTTTTTTTAAGCGAGTCCTGGGGCTTGCACCCAGGGACCGAGCACTATTCCTGAGCCTCTTTGTGCTCAGGTCAGCACTCTATCACTTGACTCACAGTGACACTTCTGGCTTTTTCTTTCTTTTTTTTTTTTTAGGGGGCGGGAGTCCAGTCATGGGGCCTAAACTCTGGGCCTGGATGCTGTCCCTCAGCTCTTCAGCTCAAGGCTAGCGCTCTACTACTTGAACCACAATGCCACTTCTGGCTTTTTTCTTTTTGCTTATGTGGTGCTGAGGAATTGAACCTAGGGCCTCAGGCATGCAAGGCAAGCGCTCTACCACTGAGCCACCTTCCCAGCCCAACTTCTGGCTTTTTCTGAGTGGTTTATTGGAGATCAGAGTCTCACTGACTTTTTTGCTTGGGCTGGCTTCAAACTGTGATCCACAGATCTCAGCTTCCTGAGTAGCTAGATTACAGGCATGAACCACTGGGGCCCGCTACAAGAGATTTTTTTTTGGGGGGGTGGGTCGTAGGACTTGAATTCTGGGCCTGGGCACTGTCCTTCAGCTCTTCAGCTCAAGGCAAGCACTCTACCACTTGAGTCACAGCACCACTTCTGGCTTTTTCTGTTTATGTGGTGCTGAGGAATCGAACCCAGGGCCTCATGCACGCAAGGCAAGCACTCTACTGCTACTGCTGAGCCACCTTCCCAGCCCAAGAGATTCTTTTTTTTTTTTTGTCAGTCGTGGGGCTTGAACTCTGGGCCTGGGTGCTGTCCCTCAGCTCTTCAGCTCAAGGCGAGCGCTCTACCACTTGAGCTACAGCGCCACTTCCGGTTTTCTGGTGGTTTATTGGAGATAGGAGTCTCACGGTCTTTCCTGCCCGGGCTGTCTTTGAACCGCGATTCTCAGATCTCAGCCTCCTGAGTAGCTAGGATTACAGGCGTGAGCCACCAGCGCCCGGCCCAAGAGATTCTTATTTCTAGTTAACCAGTGAGAATCCAGAACCTGAAGCTTGGCTCAATTGGTAGTAAAACACAAGGACAGCAGGTATGAGCTATAGGGCCAGGAGTTCAAGTCCCAGTACTGGCATTAAAAAAAAAAAAAAAAAAGAACTAGTCTACAGACAACAGAGTTCCTCTGAGACAAAGCTGCATTTGTTACTGGTACCAAGGGGATGGAAAAGAGGGAAAAGGAGACCAGATTAGATTTTCATTTCTTTCTTTTTCTCTGTGTGTGTGTGTGTTTGTGTTTGTGTGTATATGTGCATGCGCACGTGCACATGGGCACACACACAATTGGAGATAAGAATCTCATGGACTTTCTAGAACTAGCTTTAAACTGTGCTGCTCAGATATCAGCCTCCTAAATTGCTAGGATTACAGGCATGAGCTTGGCCAGATTTGATTGATTGATTGATTTTTGCCAGTCTTGGGGCTGAACTCAGGGCCAGGGCTCTGTCTCTGAGATTCTTTTTACTCAAGACTAGTGGCTCTACCATTTGAGCTACAGCTCTACTTCTAGCCTTTTTGGTAGTTTAGTGGAGCTGAGAGTCTTACAGACTTTCCTGCCTGAGTTGGCTTCAAATCACAATCCTAAAATCTCAGCCTCCTTCAGGAGGCTAGGATGACAAGCATGAGTCACCTGTGCCCAGCCACATTTGATTTCTTCTATGACTTATTTTGTGTTTACAGTGATATAAAAACAAAACTTAGGGATTCCTAGAACACAGATTAAAACTGTGAGGGAGACAGAGGTTGGATTTTGCCATGGAGAGTATGTATTCTTCAGGATGTGAAGAGCTCTGTTCCGGGGGCTGGGAATGTGGCTTAGTGTAGAGTGCTTGCCTAGCATGCATGAAGCCCTGAGTTCCATTCCTCAGGTACCACATAAACAGAAAAGGCCAGAAGTGGTGCTGTGGCTCAAGTGATAGAGTGCTAGCGTTGAGCCAAAGAAGCTCAGAGACAATGCCCAAGCCCTGAGTTCAAGCCCCAGGACTGGCAAAACAAAAAACAGAACGAAAACAACAACAAACTCACCCGTCTGGAAGCGAGACTTGAGTACATCTGGGGGAATTGCCACAACCCAGTTGAAGATTCCTGCAACACCTCCAGCCACCAGGATACGAGGTACACTGAGCTCACTGACACTGCAGAACACCAACCACAGCCCCAGTAAGACAAAGGCTGTATAAGTGGCCTTCAGACCATCCCATCCGTAGCAGATGGGAAGGTCACTTAGAGGGAGAAACTGGCTGGAAGGAGGAGGTCCAAGGGCAAGGCTCCATTGACATGGTAGCTGCTGCTCTTTGGAGGAGGTATCATTGCACCTATTTCAAATACTCGCTCTGCTGGGCGAGGCACAGAGTAAGGTGGACCTCAGCAACTGCAAGAGGAAAGTGTAAAATGGAGCAAGGAATAAGATCTACCCAGAGGAAAGGACCACCCTCCCGTGAATGGGGAAATCAGCTTCTAAAGTTCTACTGGTGGGCTCACCTCTTCCCTTCTGGGGTAAAGATATTTTTCAGCCATTCATAGGTCATGAAATACATGCCACTGGCAGGAACATCTGTTGAAGCAAGAAAGAGGGGAATTAAAAATTTATAAAAGCCACACCAATTTCTTTCATTCTCTCATTCTTTTTTTTTTTTTTTTGCCAGTCCTGGGGCTTGAACTCGGGGACTGGACACTGTCCCTGAGCTTCTTTTTCTCAAGGCTAGTGCTCTACCACTTGAGCCACAGCGCCACTCCTGGCTTTTCTGTGTATGTGGTACTGAGGAATCGAACCCAGGGCTTCATGCATGCTAGGCAAGCACTCTACCACTAAGCCACATTCCTAGCCCTCATTCATTCATTTTTGTGCTAGTTGCTGTCCCTGATGTTTTTGTGCTCAAGGTTACCACTCTACCACTTGAGCCACAGCTCCACTTTCTTTTTCTTTTTGTCGGTCATGGGGTTTGAACTCTGGGCATAAGCGCTGTCCCTTCAGCACTTCAGCTCAAGGTGAGCACTCTACCACTTAGAGCTACAACTCCACTTCTGGTTTTCTGATGGTTTATTGGAGATAAGAGTTTCATGGAGGGCTGGGAAGGTGGCTCAGTGGTAGAGCACTTGCCTTGTATGCTCGAGGCCCTGGGTTCGATTCCTCAGCACCACATAAGCAAAAAGAAAAAAGCCGGAAGTGGTGCTGTGGCTTAAGTGGTAGAGCGCTAGCTTTGAGCTGAAGAGCTGAGGGACAGCGCCCAGGCCCAGAGTTCAGGCCCCACAATCGGACCCCAAAAAAAAAAAAGAGTTTCATGGACTTTCCTGCTCAGGCTGGCTTTGAACCATAATCCTCAGATCTCAGCCTCCTGAGTAGCTAGGATTACAGGTGTGAGCCACTGGCGCCCAGCTCCACTTTCTATTTATTTCTGTGTGCTGGTACTGGAGCTTGAATTCAGGGCCTGGGCACTGTCCCTTAACTTCTTTGCTCAAAACTGGGACTCTACCACTTGAGCCGTAGCTCTACTTCTAGTTTATTTCTTTTTCACTTCTAGTTTTTTGGTGGTTAATTGGAGATAAGAATCTCAGAGGGGCTGGAAGGTGGCTCAGTGGTAGAGTGCTTACCTTGCATGCATGAGGCCCTGGGTTCAATTCCTCAGCACCACATAAGCAGAAAAAGCTAGAAGTGGTGCTGTGGCTCAAGTGGTAGAGAGCTCAACCAAAAAAAAAAGAATCTCAGAGACTTTTCTGCCTATAATGACTTGGAACCATCCTCAGATCTCAACTTCTGGAATAGCTAGGATTACAGGCATGATCTACTGGTAGTCAGCCCCTCAGACTTCTTGTACTTAGAAGAGCTCATCTTGGCACAAGATCATTCAAAGATCCTGAGAAGGTCCAGCAATCACATCTTCTTTGTAATAATGACTTTGCAGCTATCAGAGACTGCTCAAAAATTGGCATAAGTATAAAAAGCATGTGATATCATTTTATCTTTAAAAATCCACAGCACAAGCCAGACCGTGGTGGTTCATGTCTTTAATCCTAGCTACTCAGGAGGCTGAGATCTGAGGATGGTGGTTCAAAGGCAACCCAGGCAGGAAAGTCTGTGAGGCCCTTCTTTTTTTTTTGGGGGGGGGGTCCGGTCATGGGGTCTGAACTCTGGGCCTGGACGCTGTCCCTCAGCTCTTCAGCTCAAGGCTAGCGCTATACCACTTGAGCCACAGTGCCACTTCTGGCTTTTTTTCTTTTTGCTTATGTGGTGCTGAGGAATCGAACCCAGGGCCTCAGGCATGCAAGGCAAGTGCTCTACCACTGAGCCACCTTCCCAGCCCCAGTCTGTGAGACTCTTATCTCCAATGAACCACTAGAAAACAAGAAATGGCGCTGTGGCTCAAAGTGGTAGAGTGCTAGGCTTGAGTGAAAGAGCTCAGGGACAGTGCTCAGGTTCTAAATTCAAGTCCCATGACTAATTAAAAATAGTTTCCTACATGTAGTCACCCATGATATACTCCATGGATAGCAGCCCATGGATATACTCCAAGTACCAGGATATACATTGCTGGTATTACCAGAGGTTTGCCATGTGCCGACGTGAACTGGGCAACCCAGTAAAAGACCTTTTAGTGGCAGATTCTCCTCAGGTGACCACAATTAGAAAGCCTCAAGGATTACCTCTCATTAGAGTGAGCACAGTTCCTTTGTAAAAGCCTCGGATCCCAAACTCCTGATACAGTTTCTTTGCACAGTCCATTGTGCCAGTATACTTGTTTTCCCCTGAAGATGCCTGAATCTGGAATGGATGGAAGAACATGAAATTAGAAACAACACTGAGCCAGGTGTCAGTGCCTCACAACCTCCTTCTCAGGAGGCTGAGATCTGAGGATTGCAATTCGAAGCCAGCCTGGGCAGGAAAGTCCTTGAGACTCTTAATCTCTGATTAACCACCAAAAAGTGGAGGTATAGCTCAAGTGGTACAGTGCCAGCCAAGAGTAAAAAGAGTTCAGGGACAGCATGCAGGCTTTGAGTTCAAGCCCAAGGACCAGCATTAAAATAGAAAAAAGTAAAAACATTTTATTTAAAATAACAATAATGGGACTGGGGAATGTGACTTAGTGGTAGAGTGCTTGCCTAGGGTGCATGAAGCCCTGGGTTTGATTCCTCAGTACCACTTACACAGAAAAAAACGGAAGTGGTGCTGGGGCGCAAGAGGGCTAGCCTTGAGCACAGAGAGGCTCAGGAACAGAGCCCAGACCCTAAGTTCAAGCCCCAGGACTGGGGGGGGGGGGGAACAATAAGAAGACGGGCACCTGAGTCTCATGCCTGTAGGATTGGCAAAATCCAGGGCTGCCAAAACAAAATAAAACAAAACAAACTGATATGATATAAGTGCATAAAACAACAGGCTTTCCATATATAAAACTCAAAAGTATTTTTGAGGAACATAAAAGAAGTATTAAAAAGAGAGTCATAGCCAGGAACTGGTGGCTCACATCTGTAATCCTAGCTACTCAGGAGGCTGAGATCTGAGGATCATGGGTAAGACTCCTTCCTGTTTTCTGAGGGTTAACTGGTCTTTCCTGCCTGGCTGGCTTCAAACTACGATCCTCAGATCTTAGCCTCCTGAATAGCTAGGATTACAGGTGTGAGCCACCAGTGCCCAGCTTGGTGATACCTTTTTATGTGAAGTGGCAGCCAAGGAGACTTCAGCACTTGCCAGGGATCTTGAAAGGTCCAAGGAAGGAGTGAAGACTGAGAACAATCTCATTAATTTGAAGGTGGTGGGGCAGGGTGATTCTGGCATGTAATTGAAGCTTAAGAAGCATACACTGGCCGGGCGCTGGTGGCTCACGCCTGTCATCCTAGCTACTTAGGAGGCTGAGATCTGAGGATCACGGTTCAAAGCCAGCCCCGGCAGGAGAGACTGTGAGACTCCTATCTCCAATAAACCACCAGAAAACCGGAAGTGGCGCTGTAGCTCAAGTGGTAGAGCACTCGCCTTGAGCTAAAGAGCTGAGGGACAGCGCCCAGGCCCAGAGTTCAAGTCCCACGACCGACCAAAAAAAAAAAAGAAGCATACACTGAAGCTAGGTGCGAGTGGCTCATGCCTGTAATCTTAGCTACTCAGGAGGCTGAGATCTGAGGATCTCAGTTCAAAGCCAGCCCAGGCAGGAAAGACTGTGAGACTCCTATCTCCAACAAAAACCACTAGAAAACCAGAAGTGGCGCTGTAGCTCAAGTGGTAGAGCTGAGGGACAGCGCCCAGGCCCAGAGTTCAAGCCCTATGACTTACAAAAAAAAAAAAAAGATGCACTGAGCCAGGCACCAGTGATTCATGCCTGTAATCCTAGCTACTCCCGAGGCTGACATCTTTAGATTGTAGTTCAAAGCCAGCCCAGGCAGGAAAGGCCATGAAACTCTTTATCTTCCAATAAACTTCCAGAAAATGGGAAGTGGTGCTGTGGCTCAAGTGGTAGAGTGCTCGCCTTGAGCTAGAGAGCTAAGGGCTAGCCCTCAAGCCCCGAGTTCAAGCCCCATGACTGACAAAAAAAAAAAAAGAAGAAGAAGAAGAAGAAGCATACACTGCTTAGTAAACTAAGGAAAGCTCATTGTGAATGGCAGAGTTTGTCAGCAAGTCCAATCAGATTCCAATTTGACAGGCAGCCAATAGATGAAACAGATACACTTGCCTAGCTGAAATGGAGAAGGAAGATACTGTATCCTGGCAGCACACAGGTGGTGTCTGCAAAAAAAAAAAGAAACTTGCTGCCGGTAATCACTCCTGTAATCCTAGCTACTCAGGAGGCTGAGATCTGAGGATCGAGGTTCAAAAAAGCCTCGGAAAGGCTGTGAAACTCTTATCTCCAATAAACCACCAGAAAACTGGAAGTGGCACTGTGGCTCAAGTGGTAGAGTGCTAGCCTTGAGCTGAAGTGCTGAGGGATAGTGCTCAGGCTAGAGTTCAAGCCCCATGACCAACAAAAAAAAAAGGGAACTTGCTACTTTATTTTAGACCTGTGTTTGTGTGTGTGTGTGTGTGTGTGTGTGTGTGTGTGTGTGTGTTTCTTTGTGAAGGCAGTGGCTTGTACTATGATCTAAGGTATTGTCCCCTAGTTTTTTCACTCAAGGATAACACTCTACCACTTGAACCATACTCTCACTGCCAGTTTTTGGCTGGTTAATCAGAGATAAGACTCTCACAGAATCTTTCCTACCCAAGCTGGATTTGAACTGCAATGATCAGATCTTAGTCTCCTGAGTAGCTAGGATTACAGGCATGAGCCACCAGTGTCCAACAAGAAAAAGACAACAGTTTAAAAAAAAATTGGGGGCTGGGAAGTTGGCTCAGTGGTAGAGTGCTTGCCTCCCATGCATGAGGCCCTGGGTTCGATTCCTCAGCACCACATAAGCAGAAAAAAGCTGGAAGAGGCGCTGTGGCTCAAGTGGTAGAGTGCCAGCCTTGAGCTGAAGAGCTGAGGGACAGCGCCCAAGCCCACAGTTCAAGACTCATCACACACACACACACACACACACACACACACACACACACACACACACACACACACACACACACACACACACGTACGTCCTTGGGCTAGAACTCAGGCTCTGGGTACTGACCCTGAACTTTTGTGCTCAAGGCTACCACTCTACCACTTTGAACCATGGTGCCATTTCCATCTTTTTGGTGGTTAATTGGAGGCAAGAGTCTCACAGACTTTCTTGCCCAGGCTGACTTCGAACTATGATCCTTAGATCTGAGCTTCTAAGTAGCTAGGATTAAAAGTATGAGCCAATGGAGTCTAGGACAAGAAAACTTTTTTTTTTTTGGGGGGGGTCTGGTCATGGGCCTGAACTCTGGGTCTGGGCGCTGTCCCTCAGCTCTTCAGCTCAAGGCTAGCGCTCTACCACTTGAGCCACAGCACCACTTCTGGCTTTTTTCTTTTTGCTTATGTGGTGCTGAGGAATCGAACCCAGGGCTTCATGCATGCAAGGCAAGTGCTCTATCACTGAGCCACCTTCCCAGCCCAGGACAAGAAAACTTTTAAGACACTAAGTTCTCTAGCAAAGCACAGGAAATATGGTCCAATACTCATTCCTTCAGCAAAAACCAAGCAAGGAGCTTAGATTTGCAATCTCTCTTCTCTTTTTTTTTTTGGGGGGGGGCAGTCCTGGGGCTTGAGCTCCGGACCTGGACACTGTGCCACCACTTGAACCACAGTGCCACTTTGGTTTTTCTGTGTATGTGGTACTGAGGAATTGAACCGGGGGCCTCATGCATGCAAGGCAAGCGCTCTACCACTGAGCCACCTTCCCAGCCCAAGACTTGTACTCTTATAAGGCTGTAATGCGGCATACTACTTGCTGTAGAGGTTGAATTGACTTAGGCCTTCTAGGACTTTCATCCCTAAGAGTTGGAAGCCAGCATTTTCCTACCCTGTGATATCGGTGGAGACGCCAGCCCTGGCTCCCTCACCCAGCAGTAAAAGTGCCCCACCCTCACGTGTCAACATGGACAACCTAGATCTCTCCCACCACCTAACAGTAATGAGACCACATCCTTTTCTTTCCTGCTTCCATACTGTCAGAGAAACAGGAAGTTTAAATAAAGTACAGAGTTCAACAGAATATGCAAATATTTGGGTTTAAATGGAAATATCACTAGTTTTTTTTTTTTTTTTTGGTCAATCATTGGGCTTGAACTCTGGGCCTGGGCGCTGTCCCTGAGCTCTTTAGCTCAAGGCCAGCCCTCTACCACTTGAGCCACAGCGCTACTTCTGGTTTTCTGGTATGAATTGGCTATAAGAGTCCCATGGCCTTTCCTGCCTGGGCCGGCTTTGAATTGTGATCCTTAGATCTCAGCCTCCTGAGCAGCTATGATTACAAGCTTGAGCCACCAGTGCCCAGCTCACTGGTTAGTATTATCCCCACCTTGGGTCCTCAGCTTCACCTAACCTGAGCTCCTCCCTGCCCTAGAGTTCCTGCCATATAGCTGGCCATTCCCTCTCTCCACCCACATCTACCTTGCATACTCTTACTTCTGCCTTCACTTCCTCCTCCAGACCTACCTTCCACCTGGATAAGGTTGAAGACTCCATGCTCTCTCTCTCCCGGGGAGATATGGCTCCTCTAATAAGCCTTACAATAATCTTTCTCCTGTGCCTGCCTGCCTGCCTTTGCGTGGTCCCCTGGGATGGTCGTGAAGGATTCTAATATCACTTATACTCAAAACCAGGAAGATTTCAAACTGAACAATGAAAAAAGACAAGCAATGGAAACACTATGCAGAGAAGAACCAAGCTAGGTGCCAGTGGCTCCAACCTATGAGAAAAGGCTCTTTTCTTTTCTTTTCTTTTTTTTTTGGCTGGTCTTAGGGCTTGCACTCTGAGCCTAGGTGCTGTCCCTGAGCTGCTTTTTTTTTTTTTTTTTTTGGGGGGGGGGGGTCGGTCGTGGGGCTTGAACTCTAGGCTTGGGCGCTGTCCCTGTGCTCTTCAGCTCAAGGCAAACGCTCTACCCCTTGAGCCACAGCACCACTTCTGGTTTTTTAGTGGTTTATTGGAGATACGAGTCTCACGGACTTTCCTGCCGTGGCTGACTTTGAACCGCGATCCTCAGATCTCAGCCTCCTGAGTAAACTAGGATTACAGGTGTCAGTCACAGGCGCACGGCTTGACCCTGAGCTGCTTTAGCTCTACTACTTGAGCCAAGGGTCACTTCCAACCTATTCTATGATTAATTGGAGATAAGAATCTCATGGACTTTCCTGCCCCCGTTGGCTTTGAATTGCAATCTTCAGATCTCAACCTCCTGAGTAGCTAGGATTACAGGCATGAGCCACGAGCACCAGGCTAAAAACTTCTATCAAAATAGGTTGTTTAAAAGTTCCTGCTTTGGCCTGGTGGTTAGGCTCTTGTGGCTTATTTTCTTAAGCCAGTATCTGCAAATAAGGAAGGGAAAGAGGAAATGCTTTGTGATAAAGAAGAGTTTTTGAAATGTAACATTTTTGTCTTAACTGGTTGTTCCAACATGGCAGAAGAATTAAGAAATGTCTCAAGTTGTTCAAGAAAGTAACATCTGCACTTTGCTGGCTCCTACCTATAATCCTAGCTACTGAGGAGGCTGAGATCTGAGGATCATGGTTCAAAGGCAGCCAGCTCAGGCAGGAAAGTCCATGAGATTATTATCTCCAATGAGCCACCAGAAAACCAGAAGTGGCGCTGTGGCTAGAGTGGTAGAGCACTTGCTTGGAGGTGAAGAGCTCAGGGACAGTGCCCAGGCCCAGAGCCAAAGCCCCACAATTGATAAAACAAAAAACATACACCCTCTGCTACTTTCTTTTTCTTTTTTTTTTGTTGGTCTTGGGGCTTGAACTCTGGGCCTGGGTGCTGTCCCTGAGCTCTTCAGCTCAAGGCGAGTGCTCTACCACTTGAGCCACAGTGCCACTTCCAGTTTTCTGGTGGCTCATTGGAGATAAGAGTCTCACGGTCTTTTGTGTTGTGGGCTGGCTTTGAACCACCATGTTCTTCAGATCTCAGCCTCCTGAGTAGCTAGGATTACAGACGTGAGCCACCAGCGCCCAGCTGTACTGTTACTCTTATCTCAAATGCTTTTTCCTTTTGTCAGAGATAGGGCTTGAACTCAGGACCTGGGAGCTGTCCTTGAGTCCCCCCCTCCCCTCCCCCTGCTCAAGGCTAGTGCTCTACCACCTTGAGCCATAGGTCTACTTCCAGTTTTACAGTAGTTAATTAGAGATAAGGGTCTCTTGGACCTTCCTTCCTGGGCTGGCTTCCATCCTCAATCCTCAGGTCAGCCTCCTGAGTAGTTAGGATTACAGGTATCAGCCACCAGTGCTGGTTCTCAAAGACTTTTAATAACTGCATCCTACCCTTTACGAACTAGCCAATCATGAGCAGATTATGAACCTGAGCTCAGCCAATATGAGCAGAGAGGCAGGGCCTGTTGTGTTAGGGATCAGAAGGGAGCTGCCTAACTGTTCTGTGTGCTTGCTTGTCAGATTTTTGGCTGACGGTCACCCTTCACAGAAGTAAACTTTGCCTTGCTGAGTCCCTTTCAAGATGGTTTCCTTATTTCTAAACAATACCCTAACATCCTGAGCTGTTTCTAAAATGCCTGTAAATATTAGCTACTCAGGAGGCTAAGATCTCAAGCATCAAAGTTTAAAGCCATCCTAGGCAGAAAAGTCCAGGAGATGCTTATATACAATTAACCAGAAAAAAGATAGAAGTGGAGCTGTGGGTCAAGAGGTAGGGCACTAGCCTTGAGCAAAAATAAAAACAAAGAGACTGGGAATGTGGCTTAGTGGTAGAGTGCCTGCCTAGCATGCATGAAGCCCTAGGTTCGATTCCTCAGTACCACATAAACAGGAAAAAAAAAAAAAAAAAGGCCAAAAGTGGCATGGTGGCTCAAGTGGTAGAGTGCTAGCCTTGAAAAAAAAAGCTCAGGGACAGCGCCCAGGCCCTGAGTTCAAGCCCTAGGACTGGCAATCAATCAATCAATCAATCAAAATTAAAACCAAGTGCCTATATTCCTAACTATTCAGGAAGCTGACATGTGAAGATCATAGTTTGAAGCTAGCCCAGGCAGGAAAGTCCATGAGACTCTTATCACAATAAACTACTGAGAAAAAGCCAGAAGTCATGTGGTTCATATGGTAGAGTAGCTAGCATCCAGGCCTAGAGTTCAAGCCCCAGGACCAGGAAAAACAAAAACAAAATCAACGTTAAGAATGCAACTACTATTCTGCCTAGCAACCATATTATTAGACAATTACCTCAGAAAAAAATGACATTCTCTTACATAAATCTCTGAATATTTATAACATCTTTATTCATAATAACTCAAACTAAAAAGAACACAGATGTCCTTCAAACAATAAATGGTTAAAATGCAGTACATCCAAGCCACAAATACAACTCAGCAGGAAAACAAAAATGAATGAACTATTCATATATGCATCAATCTGAATGAAATCTCCAGAAAATTAGGCTGTTAAAAAAAAAAAGGCAATCTGAAAGTTTCCACATTGGAGTCTGGGTCCTTTCTCTGAGCTTTTTGACTCAAGGCTAGCACTCTACTACTTTGAGCCACAGCTCCACTTTTGGTTTTCTGATGCTTCATTGGAAATAAAAGTCTTAGGCACTTTCCTGCCCTGGCTGGCTTTGAACTGTGATCCTCAGATCTCAGCCTCCTGAGTAGTTAGGATCACAGGCATGAAGCTATCAGCACCTAGTCATTTAAATATTCTTGAAATGGCAAAATTATAGAATGGAATATATTGCAAGACATTAGGCTTTGAGATATGCCAAACTCAGGCAAGAGCAGCCTCCCACACCTCTGATGAAACATGACACACCTTTTAGTTTACAAAGTAATTAGTGGATAGGTCTGAGCTGATGCCTCATGTGATAGTTTGTTAATTTGCTACACTATTACACACACACACACACACACACACACACACACACACACAATTTATTTATTTATTTGCCAGTACTGGGGTTTGAACTCAGGGCCTGGGGCACTGTCCCTGAGCTTCTTTGGCTCAAGGCAAGCACTCTACCCCTTGAGCCACAGCACCACTTCTGGCCTTTTCTGTTTATGTGGTACTGAGGAATTGAACCCAAGCTAGCCAAGCACTCTACCACTAAGCCACATTCCCAGCCCACTATGATATTTCTTGATTCTATTGCTATTGCTTCTGTGTTCCTGAAACCCTTGTTTTGTACAACACTAACTAACCTAAAGCCAGTATTAAGGGTTGAAAGGCCATTAAAATACACACAAAATTCTATACTGAATAGAAAAAGCTTGCTTCCTCTTCCCAATCCCACCCTTACCTGTAATAAGCACTTGATTCGTTCCCCAGGGGTCATGATTCCTGTGGTGAACACACCAGATAACATTCCAGCTGCAAACAGCTGGGGATAGCTGCATGAAAAAAAAACACACACACATATACACAAAAACAAATATCGTGATTATCCACCAAGGACAGAGGTAACTCCAACAGAGATGATTTTGGACTTGGATTGAAAAGAAATATAGGGCTGGGAAGGTGGTTCAGTGGTAGAGTACTTGGCTTACATGCATGAGGCCCTGGGTCCGATTCCTCAGCATCACATAAACAGAAAAAGCCAGATGTGATGCTGTGGCTCAAGTGGTAGAGCACTAGCCTTGAGCTGAAGAGCTAGGGGACAGCGCCCAGGCCCAGGCCCCATGACCAACAAAAAAATAAACAAATAAATAAATAAATGAGAAACATTAGAGCAAGACATGGTTTTTTACCCTTGAGCCTGCTGTATTCCATCATTATGAACAAGTTGTTATCCTTCTAAGAGCCTTGTTTATCTGCAGAATGCTAGGTTACTGGGGGAAAGCCAGTAACCTAAGATCTTGAATGAGTTCCCCTCCAATCTAACTTCTCTTGCCCTACCATGGGCCTGAGAATATTCTCAGCCAAGACTCAAGCAGGACAGCTTCAAGGTCAGCCATCTCTATGGGCAGAGGCTGGTTGCCACTTGCAAGGACTATGCCTTATAATGCTGAGAAAAAGCCAGACACCAGTGGCTCACATGTGTAAATCCTAGATACTCAGGAGACTGAGATCTGAGTAGTGTGATTCAAAGCTAGCCTAGGCAGGAAATCCTGTGAAACTTTTTTTTTTGCCAGTCCTGGGTCTTGATACAGAGCCTGGGCATTGTCCCTGAGCTTCTTTTGCTTAAGGCTAACACGCTACCACTTGAGCCTTGGTGCCACTTCTAGCTTTTTCTACTGATGTGGTACTGAGGAATCGAACCCAGGGTTCATGCATGCTAGGCAAGCACTCTACCATTAAGCCACATTCCCAGCCCCTGTATTCATTATTTCAATCAGATCCCCATGACTTAGCAAATAGAGTTGACAAACCTCACAAACTGGTTTGGATGTGTGAGGACTCTGATAACTAAGTCTTCAAGCCAGACTCATCCAAAAGGAGTCGAATATACAAAGGTCAAAGTTGCCAAATGGATGTATGGAATGTCGTCATTGTTTTTTTGCTTTAGATAGGACACCAGGATTTTTGTTTTGTTTTGTTTTTGTGACTTAAACTCAGGGCCTAGAGAATGTCCTTGAGCTTATTTGGCTCAAGGCCTAGCATTCTACCACTTGAACCATGGTACCAATTCCAGCATTTTTTTTTTTTGGGGGGGGGGGGGTGTCAGTCATAGGTCTTGAACTGAGGGTGCTGTCCCTGAGCTCTTTTGCTCAAGGCTACTAGTCTAGCACTTATGAGTCCCAGTGCCACTTCTGGTGGTAATTTGGGGATAAGAGTCTCATGGACTTTCCTGCCTGGGTTGGCTTTGAACAACGATCTTCAGATCTCGGTCTCTGGGATTATAGGCATGGGCCACTGGTGCCTGGCCAGAGAACACCAGTTTTGTGGGTTTTTTTTTTTTTTTTTGCCAGTCCTGGGGCTTGAACTCAGTGCCTGGGCACTATCACTGAGCTGCTTCTGTTCAAGGTTAGAACTTGAGCCACAGTGCCACTTCCGGCTTTTTCTGTGTATGTGGTACTGAGGAATTGAGCCCAGGGCTTCATGCATGCTGAGCAAGCACTCTGCCACTAAGCCACAATCTCAGCCCCCCCTGTACTCTTCCCAAGGAGGGAACATTAGCTATCTCAGTTACATAGGCTGACTATTAAATAATCAAGACATACACAGCCAGCTTCACACTGCTTATCCCCAAAAGGAGTCTTCTCAACAGCTAAATTGACCCCTATGAAACCAGTAAGTGCTCTTCTTGCCAGGATGTCTAACCTTAGGTTGGGCACATTTAAAGTTCTGGGACTGGAGATTTTTTTTTTTGGGGGGGGGGGGGGGGAATCAGTTGTGGAGCTTCAACTCAGGGCCTGGGTGCTGTCCCTGAGTCTCTTTGTGCTCAAGAGTAGCACTCAATGACTTGAATCACAGCACCACTTCTGTGTTGTTGTTGTTATTATTTTTTTTGCCAGTCTTGGGGCCTGAACTCTGGGCCTGGGCACTGTCCCTCAGTTCTTCAGCTCAAGGCTAGTGCCCTACCACTTGAGCTACAGCGCCACTTCCAGCTTTTTCTGCTTATGTGATGCTGAGGAATTGAACTCAGGGCTTCATGCATGCTAGACAAGCACTCTACCACTGAGCCACATTCCCAGCCCCAAGTAAGATACTTCTTTCACGTGAAACTCAGCTCTAGGGGCCAAAGGCACTTTTACTGCCAGTTTGTCAATGTTATTTCCCTTTAACTATGTCATAACACCAAAGAGAACAGCACTGGGTGCCCCAGGCCGATGAATACTCACTTGAGCACATCTTCTGGGGATTTCTGCTGTAGTCTCTTCCCCAAACCAAACCCAAAGAAGCACACAGCAAACATGGGGGTGACCCCAATGATGGGTGCAGCCATACCCCGGTAGAGTCCTGTGATGCCCTGTAAGAAACCATAAAAGCAGAATCTGTATACAACCACCACCACCCTTAATGGTGTGTGTGTGTGTGTGTGTGCGCGTGCGTGCGTGTGTGCGTGCGTGTGTGTGTGTGTGTGTGTGTGTGTGTGTGTGTGTGCGTGTGCTGGTTCTTCTAGGGCTTGAATTCAAGGCCTGGGCACTGTCCCTGAGCCTTTTTTCTCAAGGCTAGCAGTCTACCTCTAGCACAGTTTCACTTCTAGCTTTGTTGGTGATTAATTGGAGATAAAAAGGCTCAGGGACTTGACTGCCCAGAGTGGTTTCGAACCATGATCCTCAGATCTCAGATTAGGATTGAACTCATGGGCTTAAGGAAAATCAGGCTTTAGCTTCCTAAGAAACTAGGGCTACAAACATGTGTCACTGTACCCGTTTTAAGAAGTGGGAAGCCGCGTGCCGGTGGCTCATGCCTGTAATCCCAACTACTCAGGAGGCTGAGATCTGAAGATCTCAGTTCAAAGCCAGCCTGGGCAGGAAAGTCTGTTGAGATTCTGATCTCCAATCAACCACCAGAAAACCAGAAGTGCCACTGTGGATCAAGCAGTAGAGCACTCGCCTTGAGCTGAAGAGCACAGGGACAGTGCCTAAGCCCAGAGTTCAAGCCTCATGACCAACAAAAACAAAAACAAGAATTGGTCTTATAGTCGGGCACTGGTGGCTCATGCTTGTAATCCTAGCTATTCAAGAGGCTGAGATCTGAGGATCACGGTTCAAAGCTAGCCCAGGCAGGAAAAGTCTATGAGACACTTATCTCCAATTAACTACCAGAAAACTGCAAGTGGCACTGTGGTTCAAAGTGGTAGAGCTCTTGCTTTGAGCTGAAGAGCTGAGGGAGAGCATCCAGGCCCAGAGTTCAAGCCCCATGACCAACCAAAAAAAAAAAAAGAAGAAGAAAGAAAAGGGATTGGCTCAAGTGGTAGAGCACTTGCCTAGCACAGCAGAGTCTCAGGATTCCATCCTCAGTACTAAAACAAATAAATCAGTAGCTAGAATTATCAAACTCTAGGACAGATAGCGATAGAAAGATACAGGGTAGCAGTGAGTACCCTGTAGAAAAGCTAAAACCCCAGCAGATTTACACAAAATTGTCATATCCCTCGGGAGTAAGCATATTAAATAAAACCTCTGAATATGGACCTCTGAGTAAGATTCAATAGATACAATACCTCTACTTTTTTTCTTTTGCTAGTCCTGGGGCTTGAACTCAGGACCTGGGCACTGTCCCTGAACTTCTTTTGCTCAAGATGAACACTCTACTACTACTTGCACCACAGTGCCACTTCCAGCTTTTTCTGTTTATGTGGTACTGAGGAATTGAGCTTCATGCATACTAGGCAAGCAGTCTACCACTAAGCCACATTCCCAGGCCCTAGATACCATACCTCTTTTATAAGAGTCTTTCGGAAACAGTCAAAGGTGCCAGAGTACATGGGAGGCTGTCCAGGTAAACTTGGTGGTTGTGTCTGCAGCCGGACCTGAAACCAGAAAGAAGTTAAAATAAATCAGCTTATAGACTCAGAACTGCCAGTAACAGTCCATCTGTCTGTCAAATTAAACGGGAAATTTTGTACCTTAAAGCTTATAGATTTAGACTTAGCTCACTGGTACTGGTACTTCATTCTATTTTTTAATTGACAAATAATATCCCTTTGTACACTCTATTTTGTATATCTATGTATCAGTTGATCATGATCACACGGTGATTTCAGGAGGAACTGAATCAGTAGAAAATATGTATCCTGGGGCTGGGAAGATGGCTCAGTGGTAGAGTGCTTGCCTTGCATGCATGAGGCTCTGGGTTCAAGCCAGAACTGGTTAAAGAAAAAATCAGCTCATGGGAAGTATGGAAGATGAGAAATCCCAATATCTGCAGTCAGCAATCTAGGAGACCATAAAAGAGCTAATTTCAGTTTAAGGCACACAAAAAAGAGATTGATATTTCAGTTTTAACAGGAAGGTAGGACAAGTTCCCTTATAAGTCTAAGGAATGTCAGCCTTTTCTTCTATACCAGTCTATACAGGTCCAATAGGTTTTAAGTAAGCTTCCACTGATTCAAATATTTGACATATAAAGCTAAGTGTCACAGGTAATTCTAAATGGCAACTAAAATGTCAATTCTAAACTGCTTTTTTTTGAAAGTCCTGGGGCTTGAACCTCTGGAACTGGGCACAGTCCCTAAGCTTCTTTTGCTCAAGGCAAGTGCTCTACTACTTGAGCCACACCACCACTTCTGGATTTTGTGTTTCTTTTGAGTAGTGTACTGGAGATTAGAGTCTCATGGAGTCTCCTGCCTGGCCTGGCTCAGAATGGCAATCCTTAGATCTAAGCCCCATGAGTAGCTAGGATTACAGGCAGGAGCCATGGGCACCTGGTTGAATATTGTTTCATGTGCTCATTTTATTTTATTTTTCCTGTTGGTCATGGGGCTTGGGCACTGTCCCTGTGCTCTTCAGCTCAAGCATTTCCGGTTTTCTAGTGGCTTTTATTGGAAAGTCTCAGGGACTTTCCTGCCCGGGCTGGCTTTGAACCATGATCCTCAGATCTCAGCCTCCTGAGAAGCTAGGATTTTAGGTGTGAGCCACAGCACCTGGCTCATGTGCTCATTTGTATTTTCCTCCTTCTCCTCCTCCTGCTCCTCCTCCTTCTTCTTCCTCCTCCTCCTCCTCCCTCTTCTTCTTTTTGTTGGTTGTGAGGCCTGGGAGCTGTCCCTCAGCTCTTTAGTTCAAGACTAGGGCTCTACCACTTGAGCCACAGTGCCACTTCTGGCTTTTTCTGCTTATGTGGTCCTGAGGAATCAAACCCAGGGCCTCATGCATGCAAGGCAAACACCACTCTACCATTGAGCCACCTTCCTAGCCCTTTTTTTTTTTTTTGACAGTCCTGGGGCTTGAACTCATAGCCTGGGCACTGTCCCTGAGCTTCATTTGCTCAAGGCTAGTATGCTACCACTTGAGCCACAGCACCACTTCCAGCTTTTTCTGTTTATGTGGTGCTAAGGAATTGAACCCAGGGCTTCATGCATGCTAAGTAAACACTCTACCAGTAAGCCAACTTCCCAGCCTGTATATCTTCTTTAGAGAAAGTTCTATTTAGATCCTTTGTTACTAAGTTTTTGTTTGTTTTATTGTCAGTTGTAGGGCCTGAATTCTGGGCCTGGGTGCTGTCCCTCAGCTCTTCAGCTTGAGCCACAGTGCCTTTTCCGGCTATTTCTATTTATGTGGTGCTGAGGAATCGAACCCAGGGCCTCATGCATGGGAGGCAAGCACTCTACCACTGAGCCACCTTCCCAGCCCTCGTATTTTTTTTATATCTTCTAGATGCCTGTTAATTTATTAAATATAATCTCATGCAAGATTCTGAACCAGATCATACATTCAAGGTGTTTCCTAAAACTTGACTCAAAAAGATTGTGAGAGTAAAAAAAAAAAAAAAGATTGTGAGAGTTAATGAATGTTTCTTGTTTTAACCCACCAAGTCTTAGGGAAAATTGTTATATTGTAATTGATAACTGATCTGAAGTTTTTTCTTCTACAATATTTTCCTGGATGTATTTCCTGCATCCTGTTCTTCAGCTTCAAATCTTTCTGAAGATTGCCATTATACTAACTTTTCCAAAACACCTTTTTCAATACATTGTTCCTTTATTTTCTGGTCCTGGGGCTTGAACTCAGCGCTTGGGTACTGTCCCTTAGCCTTTTTGCTTAAAGTTAGGGTTCTACCATTAGAGCCACATCTCCACGTCTGGCTTTTTGGTGATAAATTGGATATAAAGGGTTTTGTGGAGCTTTGTGTCCAGCCTGGCTTTGAACCTTGATTCTCATACCTCAGTCTCCCAAATAGCTAGGATTACAGGTATAAGCCACTGGTACCTGACTCTGTCTGAGACTTAAAAAAATGATGTTTGATGATGATGATGATGATGATTATTTTGTCGGTCATGGGGCCTGAACTCTGGGCCTGAGTGCTGTTCCTAGCTCAAGGCTAGCCCTCTATCACTTGCGCCACAGTGCCACTTCCGACTTTCTGCTTATGTGGTACTGAGGAATTGAACTCAGAGCCTCATGAATGCAAGGCAAGCATTCTACCACTGAGCCACCTTTCCAGCCCATGTTTGATTATTTTTCGAGACACAGTTTTACTATGCAGCTGATGTTGGCCTCAAACTCATGATCTCCTTGGCTGAGCCTCTCAAGTGTTGGGACTACAGTTGCACCATTATCCTTGCCCCCTCCCTGCCTTTTTTTTTTTTTGTCAGTCCTGGGGCTTGAACTCTGGGCCTGAGCTTCTTTTGGCTCCAGTCTAGCACTCTACCACTTGAGCCATAGCGCCACTTCTGGCTTTTTCTGTGTATATGGTACTGAGGAATAGAACTCAGGGCTTCATGCATACTAGGCAAGCACTCTACCACTAAGCCACATTCCCAGCCCTCCTCCCTCCTCCCCAAGCTGGTCTTATTTTATATTCTGATTCTGTACTTGCCAGCCCATACTTGTCCTGACTCCAATTAATCGTGTTAAGAGACTTAATCTTTAAGTATAACAGTGTTGGGAGGTGAGCTTTATTGGAGGTATTTAGTTCATAAGGGTTCTGCCTTCATAAATGAGTTAATACCAGTTATAAAAAGGCTTAAGATTTGAGTTTGATCTCTTGCTCTTCCATCTTTCACCATAAGATGACACAGCAGGATGGGCCTGGCTAGATATAGGCCTATGGACTTTGGACTTTCCAAACCTCTAGAACTATAAAAAAATAAATCTCTGTTCATCACCTACCAGTTTCAGGCATTCTGTAATAGCAGCACATGCCAAACTGTGTAAATCTCCTTATTCTTCTATTCAGAATTCAACCACCCCTTCAATTCTTGCCTAATATCACCTTCCATAAGGTCCCGCCCCTCAAGTTCCCAATTCTGTAGTGTTTCAGGACCACAGCTCCTTTGCCTTGAACTCTTTCTTTCTTTCTTTTTTTTTTTTTTGTCAGTCGTGGGGCTTGAACTCTGGGCCTAGGCACTGTCCCTTAGCTCTTCAGCTCAAGGCTAGCACTCTACCACTTGAGCCACAGTACCACTTCTGGCCTTTCCTGCTTATGTGGTGCTGAGAAATCAAAACCAGGGCCTCTTGCATGCAAGGGAAGTACTCTACCACTGAGCCACCTTTCCAGTCCTGTGCCTTGAACTTTTGAAAAGTACCTTCAAGGTCAGACTTTATTTGGGGGCCTGCCTAGTTTCCTGAGGTCAAAAGGGCTGCAGTCAGTAATCTTCAGTTTTGATGTAGACTACACAGTGTTTCTCTGAGTTGTCACAATGCCAGCAGATATTTTCAGTCATTTATAATTTGGTACACAGGTCACTGGGCCTTTCCTGAGGGTAAAACCAAGGACAAGAGGATATAAAAGTAGGAGCAGAATTTATATAAGGCTCAAATAAGGGTCTGGGAATGTGGCTTAGTGGTAGAGTGTTTGCCTAGCATGCATGAGGCCCTGGATTCAATTCCTGAGTACCACATAAACAACAACAAAAAATACATATACACACATACAAATTCTCAAATAAGGGGCTTTGGTTTTCATTTTTCTTTTTTAAAGCCTCAGATGCTGAGCGCTAACGAGATCTCTACCTCTATGGACTGAGGGCAGAAATAGAGGTCAATTGCTCTTTACTAGAAGTACTAATATACACATAGCATGTACCATCTGCAAAACACTGATTGCATGTTGCCCAATGTCCTGACCCAGGTGCTTTAATCTTTGCTCTTGCTATAGAATGAACCCAGTATGAGTTCTACCTCAAGGCATTTTCTCCCTTAAATGAAAGGCATCAAAGGAGACTGTTGCCCAAGCCTGCCAAGAGGGAAAAAAAAAAAAACAACTATGAAACTATTTTTCTGCAGAGCAACTGGATCCAGTATCTTATGTATTTTTTCAAGTCTGTATCCAGAGACAGGATAGAAATCTATAACGAAGCATCAAATGCAAAAGTCAGAGGACATGGACTTTGGTCTCCAGCAAGCTGTGGCTGAAAGTGTTTTGAGGGGAAGAGTGGAGGAGTGAGGTAAGAAAGATCAAGGAAAGAGCCCTGTTGAATTTCCTCTCTCCCATAGAGAGGTTTGACCCTGGGAGACTTCATCTGGGAGTTGTGAACATGAGGCTGGCCTCAGGTAAAGCTGGGCATCTGCTTTTCTTGGAAAGAACTCAGTCCAGTCCCTAAGGATATTTTTGCTTCATACAGGGATCCTGTATGTAATAGACTTTTCAGGCTACCATGGGGTGATCTAGGCTGAAAATGGCCAAGTGCCTTGGACAGGGAAAGGAGAGGGAGAGGGAGACAGAGAGAGAGAGAGGGCGGGAGAGAGGGAAGGAGGAGGGAGAGAGGGAGGAGGGGAAGGAGGGAGGGAGGGAGAGAGAGAGAAAGTTGGCAATGAGATATTGGTCCTAGACAAGTATCTCAGATTATGTCATCTCTGTCTTTGTCTTCCTGGGGCAAGTTTTTACTGGGGGCCGGTTTCAACCTTTAGGATAAAATGTTAGGAATCCGCCGGAATCAGAGCTCTGGGGAGAGACACATTTCCTTGCCCCGACTGTGGGCCACAGCAATAGGAGCTTTGCTGTGGTGGTTTAAGGACTCCCCCACTTGGCACTGGGTGGTTTTTTGAGGCGCCAGCGACAGCTTCTACCCAAATCCTTGAAAGAGTGACTGTCTAGATTGGTTTTTAAATTTGTGATCCAGGGGGAACTCGAATCCAGACTCCGCGCTCACGTGTGTTAAGACACTTTCCCAACACTCCTTAGGTTTCTTATCGAATCTTATATACCCCCCCATTCTGTCCAGAGCCCACGTCTGGCGGGAAGGACCCTGATTTCCGGGCCTCCTCCCCGAGCCCGCATCCCACACCCTAGCGCACCTTGACCGTGTCCAGAGGGTGCCCCACGAACACCAGGCACACGCCGCCAAAGCCGCCGGCCAACAGGTTCTTGAGCGGGCTGATGGGTTTCGGCTCCTTTGCCATGGTCTGTCGTCTTGACAGTCGGCCTGTCAGTTCCCGGGCGGTCTTGCTCGGGTGCCCAGCAGCACCTCTGGCACCGCCGACCTTTCGCCTACTTTAGGGTAGGCGGGGCCATGAGCCCGGGGCAGGTCGGGAGGAGGGACCTAGTGGGCCGCCCAGCCCGGGCTTCCGCCGCGGGAGCCGCTTCCGGCCTCGGCCCCGCCCCGATGGGCGTGGCCATCCCTCCCTCCCTGTGAGGGCGGGGCTCGCATGTGCCAGGGCCTGAGGATTGAAGTCCTCCTCCTGCAGGAGATCATCTTGCAGTTTAAATGTTTCTTCTCTCTTGGGGTTTCCTACGCTCCCGTGCACTCCACAGAGGTCAGTCGCACCCCGTTGTCTCCCAGGCGCCTTTCTAAGTGCTGTAGGCCCACTTTGGAAATACAGCTCATAGACCATAACTATGATACATGAAAAAAAGAAAATGCAGTGTATGAAATAGTAACTACTCTGAAGAAAAAGAACTGGAGAGTATGTGCAACAAATGATTTGCAATTTTAATTTCGTGAATGGGAGAATCTATTAAGATGCACTGTATGTGGGAGGTCTGAGGTGAAATAGTAACTCCCATAAATGGGAAAGAAGATGAGGAATTTTTTTTTTTTTTTGCCAGTCCTGGGGCTTGAACTCAGGGCCCTGGACACTGTCCCTGAGCATCTTTTGCTCAAGGGTAGTTCTCTACCACTTGAGCCACAACACCACTTCTGGCTTTTTCTGTGTATGTGGTATATGCTTTATGCATACTAGGCAAGCACTCTACCACTAAGCCACATTCCCAGCCCCAGGATGAGGAATCTATGAGGTACAGGAAATATTAATGGTTTTATTATATATTTTAATAGAACCCTTATTTTTGGATATTTGGGATAATGCACATAATAGCACCAATGTTCCAAAGTACACATATTATGCATATCTTTATTTTTCCTGTACTGGAATTTGAATTCAAGGACTTGTACTTGCTCAGGTTGCTTGGCTTAGACTCTACCACTTGAGCTAAGCTTTCAGCACTTACTGTTTTGTGTTTTTTTTTTTTTTTGTCAGAGACACATACTTTCCTGCCTGGGCTGGGTATGAACCATGATCCTTACATCTCAGCCTCCTGAGTAGCTAGGATTACAGGTATGAGCCACTAGCACCTGACTCTTCAGCCCAGTTTACTGTCAGTTATTTTGGAGATGGAGTCTCACCGGTTTTTCTGCCCAGGCTGACTTTGAACTGTGATCTCAGTCCCTGGAGTAGCTAGGATTACAGGCATGAGTCTTACAGGCATGAACCACAGACATTCAGCCTCATTCTGTATTTCACAGGTGCAAAATTAATCTTCAGAAAAACTATTTCTCTTGACCCTGGAGTGGATTTAGTACCACTGATCTAAAGTAAGAGATATAATTTTATTTGCAGAAAACGTATCTTGGGTTCTTTCTTAGCATCATCATAATTTTGTTAAGCTAAACCAAACAAATACACTGGAGTATAGGAGGATTTTGTGTTACTAATACACAAAACTCACAGCCATACCATAGGTTACTCATTACTTTTTTGGGGGGAAAGGGAGGTCGGTCGTGGGGGCTGAACTCCGGGCCTGGTCGCTGTCCTTCAGCTCTTCAGCTCAAGGCTAGCGCCCTTCCACTTGAGCCACAGCGCCACTTCCGGCTTTATTTCTGCTTATGTGGTGCTGAGGAATCGAACCCAGGGCCTCATGCATGCAAGGTAAGCACTCTACCACTGAGCCAACTTTCCAACCCAACTATCACTTTTCACTCCAAGTTAATTTGGGAGTTTTCAGTATTTGATTAGACTGGAAGCCACGTATAATTTTGCAAGAACTACGCGAGAGCCCGTTGCACAGATGCCTCGTGTATACACAACTTGAGCATGAGTAGGAATTGCACAGACTAGGAGGTTCACCAGCTCCTCTGGTATTTCCACGGTGGAGGGCACCAAACTTGCAGCTGAACTATCCCCCCAACACCTGACGATCGGTCCTAGAACCTACCGAAATCCAATGGGCAGTTCATATGTTGTGACAAGACACGAGAGCTGCAGAGGCAGTTAAGGCACAATCTTATATGGTTGAGGGTCACGGGCCATGTCAGGGGAAGCCAAAGCCTATTGCCATCTTGAGGTCCTTGGGGCCACTTGGCAACTTACTCCGAAAAGTAGGTTAAGATTCTCCGGTTCCGGTACCCCTCCGACCAAATGGTTGCTAGGAAACCATGGTCCTTTATCCACTCCACGGATTCCTTGGATGTCTCCTCAGTGCCTCAGAACCGAGTATAAACACAGGAGAGGAACCGATCGCTCACACACTCACACACACAGAGGTCACACCTATTTCAGGCTCCCTGTAATCCTAGCTACTCAGGGAGGCTCGAGATCGGAGGATCGCGGTTGGAAGCCAGCTTGGGGAAAAAGAAAAAAAAAAAAAAAAAAAGAAGATTCATCTCCAATTTAAGCACCCCCCCTTCCCTTAAAATGCCAGTAGTCGGGTTGTGGCTCAAGCCTTGGGGGCAAAGGGGAAGCTCACCCAATGGTTGGAGGCGAGGCTCAGGTGGTAGAGAATCAGCCAATGAGCGGAAGCCTCAAGAGTCCCAGCCCAAATAACAATTAAAAAAAAAAAAAGCTCAGCAGACCCCCGAGTTCAAGTCCCAGGATTGGCACCCGCTCCCCCCCCACCTCAAAAACTGATAGATGGTTATTTTGCGGGCTGGTGAACGAATGCAGCAACAGAGGTCCACAGCATTGCTTCATCGGCCTCGGCTCCCTCCCCGTCGCCGTTGCTCTCCGCACTCCCCGGGGTGTGTGTGTGTGTGAGACTCGGAGGAAGGGAAACTGAGTCCCGGCCGAGCTCCCAGGCGTCCTCCTCCGGGCCCAGGAGCTGGTTTAACGACCCGGGGCGACCGCGAGCCGACCCCGGCCGGAAGTGACGTCGAGGTCCCGAGCACTTCCGGGAGCTGCGGGGGGGGGGACGGGGCTCCGTCGGGAGGAAGCAGCGCGGGGGCCCGCACCGGCGTCCGCCGAGCCGCCTGCGCCGTCGCCCGCCGTAGCCCTTCCCCGCCCTTCCCCACGCGTCCCCCCCTCCCCTCCCGCTTCACCACCCCTCTCCCCTCCCCATCCGACTTGGGCCGCCTGACCGGCCTCACCTTGGTCTGGTTCGCCGGGGCTGTGCGGCCTGGGGGGCCGCGGCTCCCGGTAAGTGTGCGGAGCGAGTCCGCGGCCTTGTTTACCCTGACTGGCCGGTGGGGGTGGGGGGGTGGGGGCTCCCCGCGCGCGCGTGCGCGCACACTCACACACACGGACGTCTCCCTCACCCCCCCCCCCGGGGGCCCGGGCCCGGCGTGGGGGGGGGGTCCCCCCTTCCCCTCCCCCTCCCCACCGCCCCCCTCCCCTCGCCCCCCCCCCTCCTGCAGCGTCGGTCACTGTCTGGGAGGGGCGATGGGAGAGTTGAGGGTCTCCTCTCGCCCCTTCCTCAGTTTCACCGAGGTGAGGTGGGGGGGTAGGGGGTGTGGGGTGTGGGGGAGATCGGAGAGGCCCCATTGCCTTTAACCGGCCCTCCCCTTCCTCGTTCTCCGGGGTGGGTGGCGGGGGGTGGGGGGGTGGAGGTGAAGCGGGGCGGGTGGGGGGGGAGGGAGGGAAGGTGGGAACGCGATCGTCTCGAATCTTCCTGTTTGGGGAGCCTCTGGCCCAGCATCGCTGGCCTTCCCTCCCCCCTGATTTGTTAACTAACGTCCGTTCGGGTGAAGGGAGGGAGGGAGGGGAGAGGTGGTCCCTCCCGGCGCGTGGATGCCCACGTCCGCGCGGACCATCCGCGGTGTCTCCCCCCCTCCCCCCCCACACCGGGCCAGGAACGTGCGGCCTCGCCCGAGCCCGGACGCTTTGGCTGTCTGGTCTGTCTGTCTGTCTGTCTGAGCCTCCAGAAGAGGCAGTAGTGTTTCCCCATGACTTTCACCCGTACTTTGGATTTGTTGCTCTTGTCCCAAGCGAAGTTTCTAGGGCAGTCACCATGAACGTATTCTGCTGTTGGGGATGATAGCCACTAGTCACACGTAGCCATTAAAGTATTTGACCTGTGGCAAAAGTGATTGAAGAACTGAATAATTATCTTCCTCCTCCTCTCTCTCTCTCTCTCTCTCTCTCTGTCTCTGTCTGTCTCTATCTCTCTGTCTCTATCTCTCTGTCTCTATCTCTCTGTCTCTCGTGTCCTGGGGCTTGAACTCAGGGCCTGGGCACTGAAAGGCTAGCACTCTATACCACTTGAGCCACAGCACCACTTCTGGCTTTTTCTGTTTAAGTGGTACTGAGGAATCGAACCCAGGGCTTCAGGCATGCTAGGCAAGCTCTCTACGACTAAGCCACATTCCCAGGCCCTCCTTCTTTCCTACTTTCCTCTCTCTCTCCCTCCCACTTTTCTTTTTCTTTTTCTTTTTTTCCTGTGCCAATCCTGGGGCTTGGACTGAGGCTCTGGGTTCTGTCCCAGAATTTGTTTTTATTTTTGTTTTTGCCTCAAGGCTGGCTGGCCCTCTACCACTTCTGGCTTTTTGGAAGTAATTAGGAGTTTATTAGTAGGGTTGGCTTTGAACTACTATCCTCTGATCTCAACCTCCTGAGTAGCTGGGATTGCAGACGTGAGCCATCGGGGGTCCAGGTTCTTTCTTAGTTTTCAGGTTAGGTTTAAACAGGTGGTTAGTGAGTGACTGTATTAAAACCAAATGAAGAGTTAGAGTTTTAAAACTTTTTTTTTTGGTTGGTCATGGGGCTTGAACTCTGGGCCTGAGTGCTCTTCTTGAGCTCTTCCACTTGAGCCACAGCGCCACTGCCGGTTTTCTGAGTGATTTATTGGAGATAGAGTCTCATGGACTTTCCTGCCTGAGCTGGCTTTGAACCAAGATCCTCAGATCTCAGCCTCCTGAGTAGCTGTATTTCTTTCTTTTTTTTTTTTTAATTTTTTTTTTTTTCAGTCGGTCGTGGGGCCAGAATTCTGGGGCTAGGCGCTGTCCCCTAGCTCTTCAGCTCAAGGCTAGCACTCTACCACTTGAGCCATAGCACCACTTCCAGCTTTTTTATGCTTATGTCATGCTGAGGAATTGAACCCAGAGCCTC